GAGGGATAGACAATAGAGTTTGAAGACTAACACCTGGAGGTTCCAAATAACAAATGGAGGGGGCTTGACCTGGTGGGATTTTGTTAATGAGTTCTGGGAGGTTATCAACATCTCTAAGGGTTCAGCCTCAGGGTAGAGTGCTCTCAGGGAATTGGGGAGTTCAAATGCAAGCAGGATGAAATGGAACAGCATTTGTTTTGTTCCCAGGAAGGCAGAAGCAAACCAAACCAGGCCAGGAGATGGATAGCAGGTGGAAAGGTGTTTTTCTTCTTGGGCAGGCATAGAGATTTCTAACCCACAGCCTTGCTCAAATCCTTGTATTCGGCATCTTATTTGACTTCTGACCACCTGTCTGGTTGCTAACAACCACTAGTTGATCTTGATCTCTATCAACTCTCTGACCATGTGCTATTTTTCTGGTTGCCTGATTATCACCCTCTAGGTAGCTCCTAGGTCTGGCTTCTATAAGATAGTTTTGCCTTGGTGTTACTAATCCCAACTCATCAACCCCACCCATCAACTCATCATAATCCATGATCTTGAGCATGATACTGAATCAACCCATCATATTTAAAATCAATAAGAAAGTTTATTTCCTCCCAATATTTCACAGTATTTGTCATTATATTCAACAATGAACTATCATTTCAACATTAAGTAGGTTTTCTAACCAAACACCCTATTTATACATTTTGTAAGGTTTCTAGCAAACTCAACCATCAGAACAGATTCAAAACTGTAAGCACATAAAAAGGGCCTCTCAGAAGCCCAGGAATTTTATTCTATGCCCTAGTACATGGTCAATTTTTGTGTATGTGCCATGTACTGATGAGAAAAAAGTATATTCCTTTCTATCCCCATTCAATTTTCTCCAGAGGTCTATCATACCTAACTTTTCTAATGTTCTATTCACCTCCTTAACTTCTTTCTTGTTTATTTTGTGGTTAGACTTATCTAGTGCTGAGAGGGGGAGGTTCAGGTCCCCCACTAGTATAATTTTGCTATATATTTCTTCCTGTAACTCCCTGAACTTCTCCTGTAAGAATCTGGGTGCTATACCATTTGGTGCATATATATTTAGTAATGATATTACTTCATTGTCTATGGTGCCTTTTAGCAGGATGTAGTTTCCTTCCTTATCTCTTTTGATTAGATCTATTTTTGCTTTTGCTTTGTCTGAGATCAGGATTGCTACCCCTGCTTTTTTTACTTCAGCTGACGCATAATATATTCTGCTCCAGCCTTTTACCTTTACCCTGTATGTGTCACTCTTTTTCAAATGTGTTTCCTGTAAACAACATATTGTAGGATTATGGTTTTTAATCCATTCTGCAATCCGTTTCCATTTTATGGGAGAGTTCATCCCATTCACATTCACAGTTATGATTACTATCTGTGTCTTTTTCTCCATCCTTTTTCCCCCTATTTATGCTTTTCTTTCTCCTTTTTCCTTTCTCCCCTTCACTAGTGTTTTGCTTTTGACCACCGCCTCCTTCAGTCCCTTCCCCCTTTTATTATCCCTTTCCCTTTTCTTCCCCTTTATTCTTACTGCTGCTTCCCTCCCTTCTTTCCCCCTTTTCTTTTCCCCTCCCTTTTCTTTCCCCTTTTCCCTCCTACTGCCTATAGGGCAAGTTAGATTTCTATACTTAACTGATTATATTATGCCCTTCTTGAGCCTAATCTGATGAGAGTAAGGTTCAAACAATGCTCCCCCCTTTCCCTCTGCTGTAATAGGATTTTGTGTCTTTTCCTATAATGTAATTTACCCTTGTCTGCCTCCTCCTTTTCAGTACCTTTTCTAAGATTAGATTGATCCACTTATTTGGATCCATTTAACTTGATTAGATTTTTTTTTATCATTACATCAAAGTCAACTAATATCCACCCTCTTTATGTATACTCCTTTAACAAGGTGTAATAACAATACAGTTCTCAAGGGTTGCAAGTCTCATATTCCCTTGTAGGGGTTTAAACAGCCCCCCCCCTTATTAACAGCATATTGTATCCTTCTGTCCCATTTACCTTTTTAAGTCCTTCTTGAGTCCTGTACTTGAAGATCAAATTTTTTGTTGAGCTCTGGTCTTTTTATCAGGAAAGTTTGGAAGTCTCCTATTTCGTTGAATATCCACCTCCTCCCTTGAAAAATGATGCTCATTTTTGCTGGGTAATTATCCTTGGCTGCATTCCAAGCTCCTTTGCCTTTGGAATATCATGTTCCATGCCCTGCGGTCTTTTAATGTAGAAGCTGCAAGGTCCTGTGTAATCCTGACTGTGGTTCCATGATATTTAAATTCTTTCTTTCTGGCTGCTTGCAGCACCTTCTCTTTCATCTGGTAATTTTGGAATTTTGCTATTATATTTCTTGGTGTTGTCAATTTGGGATCTCTTTCAGGTGGTGATCGGTGGATTCTTTCTATGGTTATTTTCCCTTCTGGTTCTAGGACTTCTGGGCAGTTTTCCTTTATGATTTCCTGAAAGATACTGTCCAGGCTCTTTTTTTCATCATGATTTTCAGGTAGTCCAATAATTTTTAAATTGTCTCTCCTCAGTCGATTTTCCAGGTCGGTTGTTTTACTGATGAGGTATTTTACATTTTCATCATTTTTTCATTTTTTTGTTTCTGTTTGACTGATTCTTGCTCTCTCATAGAGACATTAGTTTCCATTTGTCCAATTCTAGTTTTTAACAGATTGTTTTCTTCTGTTAGTTTTTGTACTTCCTTCTTCAACTGGCCAATTGTGTTTTTTAGGGACTTGTTTCCTTCAGCATACTCTTCTGTTAGATTTTGTACTTCCTTCTTCAACTGGCCAATTGTGTTTTTTAGGGATTTGTTTACTCTTCTGTTAGTTTTTGTCCTTCCTTCTTCAATTGGCCAATTGTGTTTTTTAGGGACTTGTTTTCTTCAGTGTATTTTTTTTCCAACTGGCCAATTGTATTTTTGAAGGACTCTTTTACCTCTCTCATTTGACTATTAAAATCCTTCTTGAGCTCTTCTAAGAAGGCTTTTTGGGCTTCAGACCAGTTCATATTCCCTTTTGTTGTTGCAGATGTGGGTTTGTTGACAATGTTGTCCTCTTCAGAATTTCTGTCTTGATCTTCACTCTTCTCATAATATGAGTCTATGGTATTTCTTTTTACTCATGGTGTTTCCTTATTCCCTGGCCTTTAAAGAGATTGAGCTCTCCTGCTGGGGAACAGAGGGTACTGACCCAAGCTTCTTGTGTTGGGAGCCTAGGTCTTGGTCACTGGCTTTGCGTTCTGGGGCCTCTTATGCTGGGATTTGGAAGCTGTAGGTTTCTGGCAGCTTACCTTGTGTTGGGCTGGAATCAGCAAGGCTGGAACTTTCAGGCAATTCTAGGTTGCCTGCTTTTCCTTTCCTTTAGCTTTCTTCTGCTCCTTTTAGATGGCTGCTGCAGGATGTTTATCTGCCTGGGGCCCCCTGCAGTGTTGTCTCCCTCGTTTCTGCTAATGCACCAGGAGATTCCTTTGCAGTGGAGTGCGAGGCTCCTGGTGGTTTTCTGAGCTGGTTTCCACCGGTTCCCCCGCCCTCACTGAGGCACTCGGAGGTCCAGGTGTTGGTGTTTGCCTGCTCTACCACCTGGGCTTCAGGATTTCTTCACAATTGGAGGCTTCCTACAGCTCACCTGGTGTTGGGTTGGAATCAGCAAGACTGGGGCTTTAGGAAGCCTTTAGGTTGTTTTCTTCACCTCCTTTCAGATGAATGCCGCAGGGTACTTATCCGCCTGGGGCCCCTTGTTTTTGCTGAGGCACTGGGAGACCCATTTGCTGGGCTACTGCACTGCTGCTCCTTGTCTTTCTTCTAGTTCAGGTGTTCCAGGGTTTTTTTTTTTTTCCTGGGCTGATATTTTCTGGGTTTGCAGAGGTTGATAGGGGAGAGTGAGAGCGACTACCTTTTCACTCCGCCATCTTGGCTCCCCCGGGAATTTTATTCTACAGAAGAGGCAAAATACATACTTTGGCAATTAAGTGATCAATAATTTTGGAGAGAACAGTTTCAGTTGAATGACGACAATGAAAGCCAGACAGTTGAAAGTTAAGAAAAGAGTGAGAGAAAAGGAAGTGGAGGCATCCACTTAGATGACCTTCTCAAGACTGGCCACAATCCTGGCTAAGAATTGACTAAGAATTATCTGTAAAATCAGGGTTACTGATTTCACAACTTTTGTTAACTGGTAACTAAAATTTTCCATTCATCTGAGATAATCATCAGCAAATATTAGAAATGGGAAAAGAGAAACTTAACTAGAAGTAGATGCACTGGGAAGTAACTTGTGGGAAAAGACAATAGAAACACCAGTTGTGAAAGCATAGAAGTCTGGGGCCATTTAGTGTAGGGGCAAACATCCTTCCATACTTCAGCAGTCCCAGAAGGCAATATATTGTTCTATAATATAGCACATGAAGTACATAATAATGTACGTAAGAATAACACAGTCATTAAGAAAAGGATCGTGTTCAACAAAAGATTGTAATAATGAGTATTTTCATAATAGTATTTGTAAAGCATTTTAAGGTTTGCAAAGTTCTTTACAAATATTCTCTTTGATCTTCACAAAGGCCCTGGGAAGTAGGTGCTATTATTATTCCCCTTTTAGAGATGAGAAAACTGAGGCAGACAGAGGTTGTGACTTGCCTGGGTTCACACAGCTAGTAAGTACATGAGTCTGGATCTGAAGTGGGATCTGGCTGACTCAGCATACTGTGTTTACTGAAGTGGATAAATATGCCCTACATTTTGGGACAATTTTTATCTTTAAATCATTTTGTTTCTTTGGTACGTGAAAGGGAAAGTTTCTATTTTCTGGAAAGTTGAGTTGGATAGAATGCCTCATTCTCTAGTGATACCAGATAAATGAGGCTCCTTCACAAAGGATTAGGATGGGGGCAGCTAGGTGGCACAGTGGATAGAGCACCGGCCCTGGAGACAGGAGTACCTGAGTTCAAATCTGGCCTCAGACACATAAAAACATTTACTAGCTGTGGGACCCTGGGCAAGTCACTTAACCCCATTGCCTAGCCCAAAAAAAAAAAAAGGATTAGGATGGGAATCAAACCTTACAAAGAATAAATTTCTTTTAAAAAGCTACAGAAACACCATCTTCAAATTTCAAACTGTTCAGTTCCTTCTTCACAAGTCAGCTTTCCAATCTATCTGTAGACAGCATGTGCAGGTTTCTGAATATTTTTAGACAAAATATGATCTAACAGTACAGTAGGCAAATACGATATAGGAATAAAGTAGAATTGAGCATCCCAACCAGCTGAATAGCGATAGCGAGGGTAAGAGGATGTCAGAGCATGTTCCATACAGTCGGTTACCAGGGCGCAAGTTCGAGTGAAAATTTTCCACTGCCTCTTTGGTAGAGCTGGCAGCTGGAAAAAAGAGAAAGGAAAATGTGCTTAGCTTGTTTGTTCTTCACTTTTTCAGTCTAAAATCCAATGGCACAAGTTTACAGAAATCCAAATGTAACCACTGGCTCATACAAATCCAGATGATTTGTGCCTTTGGACAAAGCTATGGACAATTACACCATTCATTCAGCATTCGAAGAAAATTGATTCGACTTCTTCAAAATAACTGAAACTTAAACCTTGAAATAAAAGCAACCTTCCTTTTATAAGTTTAAATAAATGATCAATAAGTAATAATATCTAGCATTTATATAATGCATTTTAAGGTTGTCAATGTGTTTTGCAAATATCTTGTTTAATTTTCACAACAGCCCTGTAAGGTATGTGCTGTTATTATTCCCATTTTACAGATGAAGAAAATTAGGTTAAGTGACTTACGCATAGCCACACAGTAGTAAGAGTCTGAGGGAAGATGAAAACTCAAGTCTTCCAAACTCTAGGTCCAGAATTTTTTCTACTATATAACCTAACTGACAATTATAAATAACAAGTCCCTGAGTATCCTAACAAAATTAACTTTTTTCTTATTTCCTATTTCTTATTTCAAATCAGAGATATGTTCCCCCTAATGAACTGAATTGAAAGGTAGCCAAACCCCTGGTATGATGGAGATGGCAACAAAAGGAAGTTAGGAGAACCTATATGATGTAATGGGAAGAACATTAGATCCTTGATCAAAGAACCTGGGTCCAAATCCTATCACTGCTGCCTGTGTGGCCCTGGACAAATCATTTAACTTCTTGGGGGGTCTCATTGCCTCATCTGTAAAATGGAAAAGTTGGTCTAAATGGATCCCACCCAACTTTAAATGCTATGAGTCTATGTGGGGAGTTTGAGTCCCAAATTAGCATGTTTCCTTTGTGATATGTTCCTGACTCTGAGATATCCTTTCCATAACTGATTACCAACTCTACTGTCATCAGAACTCAGGGCTTTCTCTTATACTGAGAGCAAAGGTGTCCAATACAAGGCTCCTGGCCCAGCATAGGGCCCACAACCCCCAAGTGTCACAAAACTAGATTAAAGTGTTGTTAGGAAATATTTAACAAAATAAATAGAAATATAATAAAACATAGATAATATTACATTTTAAAACTAAATCAATAGAAGGCCCACAGGGATCTTTATGTACAGTCAGTGACCTTTGTTTCTATTTGAATTTGATACCAACAGTGTCTACAATTATAGCTCCCAGAACTTTACTTCTCTCCTTTAATCTGGACTACAATGTCACATTTCATCAGTCAAGACCAACAGCCAGCTCCTACCTATAAGACCTCAGATGGCATAAAAATTCCTGCCTTACTTGGTTAATTTTGTATATTAAAATTTTCATGCGATCAAATTTGTTTAAAATGAACAATACCTACAATCACTACTTAAAAACTCTTCTTTCTCCCACCCTCCACCTCAAAATAACCAGTAATTCTCACCATATTTATAAACACAGCTATTAATGAAGAGGATGTGTTCAAAGATTCCTCTGGGTTTTTACAGTTTGTTGACTAAAACAAAGCATTTGATTCAAAAATATAAGGCTATCTTAAAGGCTCTCTACCAACAAGGTCTCTCCCATGAAAGTGGTAAGACCATAAATCATCCCTTGATAGATACTACAACAGAGACAATGATGATTGCTCAGATTACTGATATCAAATGAGGCACAAAACCTTCAGACAAATGGATTCAAATCCTTACTTTCCTACTTTTAATCTGAAAAACTCAAATTGAACTTTCCCAGGCCTTAGTTTCTTCAACTGTGTGAGCCTTAGAAGTGTGGCCTTCACCTTAGCTGATCCCAGAGAGGCCTTATTGCCTCCTCCTCTTCCTCAGGCAATACTACAGACCCAGCACCAAAGGGAATAGACCTTCCTCCTATCTACTCCATTCTCAAGCCAACTTGGCAGGCAATGCATGGTGTCATTAAGAAACTACCACAATGTGTGGTCTAGTTGGAAGAGCCCAACATACCCAGAAGACCCAGATTCAAATTCTTCCTCTGACACTTCTGAACTGTGTGACCACAGGTGAATCGTTTAATCTTTCTTATTCTCCATTCTCTCACCTATTAAAAAAAAAAAAGGATAATAATACCCTAGAGCTCCCCCTACTGACCTTGTTGAGAGGATCAAATGAGATAAGGTCGGTAGATTTGCCAACCATGCTGTGAAATAGGCCAAGGGAAAGTATTATTGGGATTCTATTCTGTGGGTCTGGATTTGAGTCCCTCATCTGTTTCTCAACTACCTGTGAGACTGTAGAAACATATTCTTTGGGCTTCAGGTTTCTCACCTGTAAAATGAGGAGGTTAAACTAGATGGACTCTAAAACCGTGATCCTGTGACCTTCAGAGTTCTATTAGATGGTTTCAGAAAAACCTGAGAAGACTTATATGAACGGATGCAAAATGAAGTGAGAACAGCTAGGAAATCATTGTACATAGTACAGATTATACAATGATCAACTGTGAATGACTTAGCTATTCTTAGCAAAACAATAATACAAGTCCATTCTAAAGGACTTAATGATGAAAATGCTATAAGAAATGATGAGCTCAATGATCTTAGAAAATCATGGAAAGACTTGCATGAAACGGTGAACAGCAAACTGAGCAGAGCAAAGAGAACATTGTAAGGCCGTGAGTGTGGCCTTTTGACTGAATTCAAGTTTCACAGAACAAATCCTTTTATTAAGGGGATTTATTCTGTGAAGTTTAGATTCAGTCAAAGGGCTGCACTTGAGGACCTAGAGGGTCATAGGTGGCCTTGAGGCCGCAGGTTCCCTGCCCCTGGTGTATAGTAACAGCAATATTGTTTTAAGGACAATTTTGAGCAACTAAGTCATTTTGACTATTATACGTACACAAATTAAAACTAAAGGACATATGAAGAGAAACACTATCTACATCCAGAGAAAGAACTGATAAATGGAAGTAGTACAGATTAATTTTACTTAAGTGTTGTGTGTGTGTGTGTGGTGTGTGTGTGTGTGTGTGTGTACACCAATTTGTGTCTAATGGTCACCATCTCCAGGGTTGGAGGGAAGAAAAAAAAAAGAAGGAAAAGAAATTTACATGATAACTATTGTATATTTAGAAGAATAGCAAGTTGTGCATAACAGATTTGCAGTTTCATGTGCAATTATCATTTTATTATACTATGTTATAGAAATGCTTGTTTTATTCCATAAATTAAAAATAAAATATTTTATTAAAATGCCATCCACCTCAAAAGAAAGAACTGATGGAATCTGAATGCAGATTGAAGCATACTTTTTTTTCTTTATTTATTTTTCTTGAGTTTTCTCTCTCTTTTTTAAAATCTGTGTTCTCTTTTGCCACATGGCTAACATGGAAATGTGTTTTATATGACTACACATGTATAATTTATATCAAAGTGCTTGCCTTCTCAAGGAAGGGAGAGGTGAGGAGGGAATTTAGAACTCAAAAATTGTTAAAAAAAAAAAAAGGAGTGTTAAAATTGTTTTTACATGTAAATGAGAAAAAATAAAAACATTGTTTTTTCAAAAGATAACACAGGAAGGGTAGTCTGGAATAAGGGCAGAAGAGAGAAATTAGGAAATAAAATTTGGAGAAACTCTAAAAAAACATGAAGTACTATCTAAGTGTGAGTTATGTGCAGTAGTATTGAAAGATTTGTTCCCAGACGATTTGTTATTTGAGATATCACTATTCATATAATCCTAAAATCTACACAAGCATATCATTTCCTGCTGAAACACCCCCCTCAAAGATATTCTTTTAAATGCCTAAATTCTTCCTTTTATTTCCCACTTCATAGAACACACTATCTCAGTCAAAATAAAGAAACTCACATTTCTCATAGAATTCTTGTCCATAGCTTTCTTTAATCTCCGCTGAACTTTTATTCCAAGAATTTTCAAGGCTCTGCAGGATCCTCTGGCTGTTGGTCATGTTTGTTTTGAAATAGCCAGGCTCAACCATGGAGATTTTCACCCCAAAATGTTTCATTTCAAGCCTGAAACAGATTCACCCAAGTTAGCACAATGGTTTAAACACACCCTCAATTTTAATGTTCATAGGATGAAAATACAAATTATTCAAGAACTTGTGAAATCTCTCATGAGATCACTACTCATTAGAGGTTATCTAGTCCAGCTGTGTCAAACTCAAGCAGAAACAGATCCCTGCAGGCTGCAGATTAACTTAGACAATGTTGGTCAAGTCCCTGCTCTGAGACTTACCAGCTAACTAGGTGGCCCCTGGTTTAGTCTTTTAACTTCTTTGAAATTCTGCTTCCTCATCTGCAAAATGAGACTAATAATACTCCCATGAGTATTCACTTCTTCTCAACAGTGTTTTGAAAATCTAAACAAAAGTTAAAATGCTATTGACTGAGCATTTATTAAGTGCCTCCTATTCTTCAGGTACTGTGCTAGGCACTGGGTATCAAAAAGAGAGTCCCTGCCCTCAAGAAATTCACAATCTAATGAGGGAGACAAGAGGCACACAGCTAAGTACAAGCTTCTCCCACAAGTCTCTCAATATTGATTAGTTCACTCAACAAACAATTGTTAAGTGCCTTCTGTATGCATGGCAGTGTGGCCTAATGAATAGAGAACTGCCCTTAGAGTCAAGGAGAACTGGATCTAAATTCTGCATCCCACACATACTGGCTAGGGAAAGTCACTTGGGCCCTGATTGCTCTCAGGCAACTCTGTAAGACTAGAAATAGCAAATCTGCATTGGGAGTGGGGCTTCTACTTTGGGAGCTTCCTAGACAGATGAAATCAGAGGAAGGAAGGAAGGAAGGAAGGAAGGAAGGAAGGAAGGAAGGAAGGAAGGAAGGAAGGAAGGAAGGAAGGAAGGAAGGAAGGAAGGAAGGAAGGAAGGAGGAAAAAGAAGGCAAGAAAGAAAGAAAGAAAGAAAGAAAGAAAGAAAGAAAGAAAGAAAGAAAGAAAGAAAGAGAAAGAAACGAAGGAACGAAGGAATCCAGACAGGAAAGGAGAAAAAAGAAGACAAGAAAGAGAAAGAAAGGGGGCAGCTAGTTGGTGCAGTAGATAGAGCACCGGCCCTGAAGTTAGGAGGACCTGAGTTCAAATCTGGTTTCAGACCAAACACTTGACACTTACTAGCTGTGTGACCCTGGACAAGTCACTTAACCCCAACTGCCTTAAAAAAAAAAAAAAAAGAAAGAAAGAGAAAGAAAAAAAGAAGGAAGGAAGAAGAAAATAGAAGACAAGAAACAAAGAGAAAGTAAAGAAAGAAGGGAGGGAGGGAGGAAGAAAGGAAGGAAGAAAGAGATTTATAAACTTCAGAACTCTATAGGTGCTATTATTACTTTCATCCCTCTGACTTAAAATAATACCACCTTAAGGAAACAAAGGAATGTGTCAACTTTTGTAATGATTCTCAGTCCATCTCTTCAATAATGGTTTAGAAAATTTAAGTGTCAGTCTACTGACTGAGCAATTATTAACTGCCTACTATATTCCAGGTGGGCAGCTAGGTAGTGCAGCAGACACAGCACCAGGCCTGGAGTCAGGAAAATCTGAGTTCAATTCAATCTCAGAAGCTTGCTAATTGTGTGACCCTGTTTGTCTCAGTTCCTCATTTGTCAAAGGAGGACACACCACAGAAAGAAATGGCAAATCACTCTAGTATCTTTGCCAAGAAAATTCCATGGACTTATCCATGAGTAGAGTGAGATACAGCTGAAAGACTGAAACAACAACAATGTTCCAGGCGCTGTTAGTCACTGAGGATACAGGAGCCAAAAGAGAGTCCCTGCCCTCAAGGAACTCACAGTCTAGAGGGGGAGACAACACACAAACGCCTACATAGAAGCTATATGTAGGAAATAATTAACGGGGGGGAAAGCACTAGAATTAAGAGAATTTGGAAAGGTATCCTGATCCCATAGAAGGTAGGATTTTTGCTGGGATTTACTCCTGGGCAGCCAAGAAACAGACATAAGGAAGGACAGCATCCCCAGCCTGGGACAGCCAGAGAAAATGCCTACACCCAAAAGATAGAGTGTCCTGTCTGTGGAATTCTGATGACAGAAATATGACTAGCCACTTAAGGTATACAATAGGACAAATACAAATATGCTTGGAATCCTCAGTCTGAAGGGGAAATGTAGACCTTCTCTTGCTAATGATCACTCCTCTGCTTGTATCCTTGATCCCATCTCCTCTAGGAATGTGCCTTTTTGATCATCTCCTCTTTTTCCTTAATTTTTTTAATTTAGTTTTAGGCAATTGGGGTTAAGTGACTTGCCCAGGGTCACACAGCTAGTAAGTGTCAAGTGTTTAGTCTGAGGCCAGATTTGAACTCAGGTCCTCCTGACTTCAGGGCCAGTGCTCTATCCACTGCACCACCTAGCTGCCCCTTTTTCCTTAATTTTCAATTTCTCCTTAGCCAATGGCTCCTTCCCTTCTGCTTACAAATATGCAATACAACATATCTTCCTCATCCTTAAAAATCATTTCACTTGACCTTATTGCTGTTTTTGCTGTTGGCTTCTTCGGTAGCATTCAACTCTTTGTGACCCCCTGGATCATAGCGTGCCAGGCCCTTCTATCCTCCACTTTCTCTTGAAGTCTGTCCAAGCTTATGTTCATTGTTTCTATATACTATCTATCCATCTCATCCTCTGCCATCCCATTTTCTTTTTGCCTTCAATTTTTCCCAAAATCAGGGTCTTGTTCTCTCATTATGTGGCCAAAGTATTGAAGCTTTAGCTTTAGTATCTTCAGGAGACACTGCTCTCTCCTGGTTCTCATTCTGGCCACTTCTTAGCCTCCTTCACTGCATCACCATACACACCCTACACCCTTCCCACTGAAGTTCCCCAGGGCTCTGTTGTAGGTTTCTTCTCTCTCTAGCCTCTCTTTTGGTAACCTTGTCAACCCCAGTGGATTCAATCATCATCTCTTTTCAGATGACAGTCACATCTATATATCCATTCCTAGTTTCTCTTCCTAGTACATAATAGGTAATGAATAAATATTTGTTGATTTGGCTGAACTCTAGGCCCGTGTCACCAACTGGACATATTGGACATCTCCAGTATGGATGGGACATCCTACAGGTCTCTCAAACTCAAAATGTCCAAACAAATTCATTGTCATTCTTCCTAAATCCTCTCCTGTTCCTAATCTCCCTGTTTCTGTTAAATGCACTACAATCCTTCTAGTCACCCAGGTTCCCATTCCTGAAGACATCCTCAACTCCTTACTCACACTCTCTCATACCCAGTCAGTTGCCAAATCTTGTCAATTCTACCTTGACACTTTCACTTCACTCACATGGCTGCTGCCCCAAGTCAGGGCCTCATCTGCTTGGAGGATTGAGATACTCTCCCTGATTCCATTCCCTCTCCCCTGGATGGATGCATTGATGTTTGCATGAATAAAGGATAATGATAGTTACCTCAGACAATCCGAAAAGGCTTCCACTCCATACTTGGAACAACAGTAGGGCACTGAATAGAAAGCAAGTCTCCCCATGATGCTAGAGACATTGACAACCCTTCCCGTGGCTTGTCTCAACATTGGTAGCATGTTTAGCGTCACCTCAATTACTCCAATCAGGTTTATATCCATTGTCTTCAAAGGTTCCCCTTGTCCATCATCTCAGTGCAAACATCTGGAAAGATAACTCCTGCATTGTTGACAAGGCCCCAGAGTCCTATAAAGATATAAATCAAAATCGCAAGTGCGTTAAAATGTACCACTGGAAAGGCATGTTAGAGCACACCTAGATAACCTCAAGTATAGACTCTACCATGTTCCAACCCTAATGAATTTAATGAGAGGCGGTAAAGTATAGTAGAGAGAGCATTGGAGACAGGAAGGCCTCAGTTTGGGCCCTGCCTCTGATATGTATTAGTTATATGATCATGAACATTATCATTACCATCATTAGATTATAAGCTTCTTGAGGTCAGGGACTGTCTTTTGCCTCTTTTTCTATCCTCAGCACTTAACATAGTGCCTAGAACATAGTAGAGGCTTTATGAGGTTTACTGATTGATTGATTGATTGATTGATTGATTGATTGAACAAGTTATTTAACCTCTCTGTTCTAGGCAACTCTAAAAGACAAATGAGTTGCCTATTTCCATTGGCAGTTCCTACACAAGTGAGTTCCACACACAGATGAAATCACAGATAAGAGTCTAATTGTTCAGTTGATTGATATAATAAGAAATCTAGCATACCACCAAGTACAAAAATTCCTTCTTCCCTAGATTTGGAGCCCAAGTCCAAAATATATTTAGAAACACAAAGGTTTATTACTGCACTATAAAAAATAATGAATGTTATTACTACTGAGAAGCATGGGAAATGCTGATACAAAATGAAGTAAGTAAAACCAGGGGAAAAATATACACAATGATTACAACAATGGAAGGAATAACAACAAAACCATGGAAACTGAATGGTACAAAATTATAATGACCCAGTTTGGCCCCAAAGAAGAGATATGAAGAGGCACCTCTGTTTCCTTTGCAGAGCTAGGGGAATATGGATGTGAAGTACTATATATGATGTCAGACTTGTGATATGTTGGGTAGCTTTGCTAAATTGTTTTCTTCTTTTTTTTTATCCTTTTTAATAAAAAATGGTTTTCTAGAAGGAATTGGGAAGAGGGGCAGGTAAGTAAATGTGGATGACGCAAACATTAAAAAAATTAGTTATTTTTTAAATGGAAAAATAAACTTTAAAAATTAGTAAATGTAGGCTAATTTGAACAGAAATGGAAAATGCTTACATCCAGAAGGATCACACAAGGTTGCCCATATGAGGGGGCACATAAGCTAGGCTTTAAATGATGCTAAGACACATTAATGCATTCCAGCCATGGAGGACAGACAGCCTGTGCGTGGGTACAAAGGCAGGAGACAGAATGCCAAGCTAGGGAAAACAACAAATAGGTCAGTTTCTTTGGGATATGGGCTACATGAAAGGAAGTTATAGAATAAAGTCTGGAAAAGTGATCCACAGCCAATTTGTAAATGGCATCAAATGGGAGGCAATGAGTCACTGGAGATTCTGGAGCAAGACAGAGGTCAGGAAGATTATTTTGGTAGTCGTGTGGAAGATAAATTAGAAAGGGGGAGAGATGGCAACCAGGAGACTATTGCCACGGTCCATGAGAACTAATGAGGACCTGAGCTAGATTGGCGAGCCACATAAATGCAGAAGAGACAAAGAGAGATATTGATGAGGTAGATTTAACAATGCTAGGTAACTAACTGAATATGGGTACTGAGTGAAGAATCTCTAGCATGGTTCCAAGACTGGCAACCTGGGTGACTGAAAAGAGGATACTGTTGGAGGAGAGATGGGCTTAGGAGGCCAAATAATTCATTCTATCTTGAATACATTGAGTTTGATAGCCTAAGGGCATCCTGGGAGAGATGTTCAACAACAGACAGTAAAAATAAAAAATTTGGAGTGATGTCCATAGGGCTCCATGGATTTCTTTTTTTTTTTCCGCTTGTTCATAATAAAAAATAATAGAGCAGAAAAAAAGAAAAGTGGCAATAAGTTATTGCCTAAACAATTATCATGCTTGCTTTGTGATAAAAATCAATTTAAAAAAAAATACCTTGTAAACTTACTTTCTAAACAATCTAAGTCAAGCTTTTTGGTGCTTTAAAGATTATGCCTCTAAATCCTTTAATTAGGGACAGCTAGGTGGTGCAGTAGATAGAGCTCTAGCCTTGGTGTCAGGAGGACCTGAGTTCAAATCCAGCCTCAGACACATGACACTTACTAGCTGTGTGACCCTGGGCAAGTCACTTAACCCCAATTGCCTAACCAAAAAGCAAAAAAAAAAAAAGCCTCTAAGTCCTCTAATTCCAAGATGGAAACAACACCCCCAAATCCCCAGTGCTCATTTTCCAAGGTAAACTATTGATCATATGAAAACAATACAAAAGGCCTTCACGTCCTCCTAAATGACAAAATGAAGCTTTCAAACATCACACATCCCTTCTTCATGCTTAACAATTTAAGAAAAATGAAATAATGGCTCTCTTTCATTCGTACCTTTATTTCCCACACGCTCCTTCACCCACTGGGCAGCTGCAGTGATGCTCTCAGTTTTGGTTACATCCAGGATCACTGTCTCTACCCTGTCTGAAGTCTCACGCCTCAGCTGCTCGGCCCCTTTCTCTGTCAGACAGGCTGCTAGCACCCTCATGCCTCGAAGGTCCAGTTGCTTAGCCAGTAAGTTACCAAATCCAGAGTCACAACCCGTGATAAAGACATATTTGTCTCCAAGGTTACTCACCACCTGCCTCTCCCGGTACCAGCGAAACAGATAGTAAAAGCCAATAAGGCAGACCAGGTACAGCCACATGGAAGCGATTGGTCTTTCACTATTAATAAAGCAAGTAAAAAAAATGTTAACTGCTCTGCTGTCTTTTAATCCTCCAGAAGCCCCTTTTCTTTTTCTTATAATTTTCTTTTGGACCAGACCTGTGATTTCATTAGTAGCAAATTCCTAGCAAAGAGAGCTATCTCTACCAAAACAAGTAAGTACCTACTCTGTAAGGTATAGCCTTAGAGACTTGCCTAAGTCATTTAGAAGTCAAGTGATTTGCCTAGGATCACATAGCCAGTATATGTCAAAGGGACAACTTGAACCCAGGTCTCCAAAGCCACTTTTGGGCATTGGACTATATGATTGAGGTCCCTGCCCACTGGAAGTTTCCATGATTCTGGTGCTGTGTTAATGTGGTCATTTCCTCAATGCTTAAAGAACTTTGGAATCAATTATATGACACGGGAGACACTGGCACAGGACTGCCTGGCATGGTGTGCCTTCATCAGGGAAGGTGCTGTGTGCTCTATGAGCAAAGCAGAATTAAAGTAGCTCAAAAGAAATGTGAGATGCACAAATTTAGAGAATCTATCCCCAAATGTTCATATGAATTATTTGTGTCCAACCTGTGGTAGAGCGTTCCAAGCTCGTACTGGTCTGATCAGCCAGTCAGACACATTGTAACTTGACTAACATAGTGATGTCATTTTGGTCCTCTTCAAGAATGAAGTACAACAACCATGAAATCATAAAAATGCTTAGCAGTCACTCATTAGGAGCTTCCCTCTCTGGCATGCCGAGAATGCTTCCCTGCACACCACAGTCATGCCATGCCATCCCTAGTTATCCTGATCTCAAAGCTCAAGCAGACACATGCATTTCTGGTCTCCCTCCACTTCCATCTTCTGTTTTCTGGGAGGGGTAGATCTACATCCCTCCCTACATGAAGATCAAACCCCATTTTCCCCCATCAGATAAACAGATAGCCTGAATCCCTCTCACTGGTATTACATGGAGTAGAGTGACTCACTGACAAGGAATTCCTTGAACAGGTCAATCCACAGATTCCTAAGGCTGGTATGAGCAGGAAGAAGGCAAACCATGCTCCCTAAAGCAAGTAATCCCCCAACTAACCCACTTCTCAAGAAAAGTTCAAAGACATTTTTAGGGCACTGAACTGGGAAGGCTATATGTAATTTTACCAGGGCCAACTCTAGATAGATTCTTAAATACAGAAGAGCAGAAATAAGAATTTTTTTTAAAATACAAAAGCCCCTCAAAAAAGTTAATACATGAAAAGTTTAATAATAGCAATAAAAGCAGAAATGTGAAATTTTCTAGCCAAGTGCAGCTCTAACCTAACATACCCCAGGAATAATAAAGAACACCAGAGGAAAGAAAGGTTTTTTTTACCTTACGAAGAGTTGAAATCCGGCCTTAGAAACTTGATACTTACTAAATGTGTGTCTATGGGCAAGTCACTTAACCCCAATTGCCTCACCAAAAAGCAAAACAAAACAAAAAACCTTACAGAACTACTCCTCTTTCCTACTTAGGATTATCACCAACACGATCTGCTGGAGGGGCTTCACAATGGAGATCTAGTCAGAAGAACAGATCCCGAATCCTGAATGTTCCTGTTAGAGAATAGCCAAGGTGGCGAGACCAGGGACAGGCTACCAGGAGATGAGCTGAAACCCAGACATAGTTGAAGAGGACCAGTAGATAGAACTGCAGAGGATTTGGGAGGGTAGGGAAGAAGCTAAAACCAAAACGGTAGATATGTATGAGGCTCCATACTTGGAGGCTAGGTAGAGACAGGCCTGGGTGATAGAAAGAGAAAGTCTGCTACTACCCTTAGGAGGGTAAGACATACCTTGACTCAGCACAGTTGGAGGCCCCTTATAGTCCAGATAAATTCCTGAGCAGAGAAAGAAATTCTGAAGCCATATAGGAAAAAAACAAATTGTTGAATCGTTTTTCCTGAAAAAGTCAGAAATCTAGGCAGGGTGAATTTAAATATGACAAATGTTTTCAGACCAGTCTTTGGTAGTTTAGATAAACTTTGCTCATTAAAAATCACCTTTGTGAATATAAAAATTTTAACTACATTTTAGTCAGAGGATAATTGCAGATTCACTAACAATTTTTAAGTAATAAGAGCTAGCATTTTTATAGCACCTACTATGTGCCAGCATTATTATAAGCACTTTGCAAATACTATCTCACTTGATTCCACAACCTGCGAGACAGATGCTATTATTATCCCCATCTTCATAATACCAATAATAACTAATACTTATAGGGCACTTACAGTATGCAAGGCACTATGCTGAGTACTTTACAATTAATATCTCATTTGAGCCTTACAATAACCCCGGGAGGTAAGGTGCTATTTTTATCCCCATTTTACAGATGAAGAAACTGAGAATATATCAGAGGCTCTCCCATGGCCATAATAGCTAGGAAGTACCCAAGGAAGGAGTGGCACTGAGATTCAAGGTCTAGCACCCTACCAACTACACAACCAAACTGCCTCAGTTTCAGAGCTCCCTATTTGGGGAGAGGAAAAGGAATAAGTCTAGGGAGCATGTCAGCTGGGAGTTTTACCAGGCACTACACGGAATGCAGGGAACAAGGATAGCCTAGATTTAATGGTTTGTGGCTATCTGACCTCTGGGAAAGAAGAGGCTCGATCTAAGGGAAAAGGTGGAAAAGACAAAACTCCATTTACAGGGCAGAGCCTCAGCTGTTGAGTCATGCACATTTGGGGTTTTTCCTAGCAAAGATACTAGAATGACTTGCTATTTCCTTCTCCAGCTCACTTGACAGATGAGGCACTGAGGCAAACAAGGATAAGTGACTCACCCAGAGTCACACAGCTAGTAAGTGTCTGAGGCAGATTTGAACTCATGAAGATGTCTTCCTGATTCCAAGTCCAGTGCTCCATGCACTATGGCACCACCTAGCTGCCCTTATTTTAGCTAATATGTTGCTATAGGTAAATTATTGAGGATAGAAAGAATGATTCAACAGTTAAAGAGAGTTCCCAGGCACCAGAGTCATGGAGATCACCACACTGAAGAAGGCAGGGAGTTGGAAGGTCGTAGCGAGAAGCCTGATGCTCAGGTAAAGAAATTCAGAGGCCAACCTTCATATCAGCAGACAAAAATCTTAGAAATCTATTACTCAGCCTCAGAGGAAGAAGTATTACTCTCTGCATTCCTGTTTTAGTAAACAATTTTCTTCTTTTGCTGGATTTCTCATTTATGCTGTTCCCTCTTCAAATACATATGTCAGAGGTCAGAAACATAACCCATGAGAAGGAATAACAGGATCCATTTGTTGAAATATTTGCATATCAGACATGTCTGGACCACCACCAATACTATCACCATCCTTGCCAGAGGAAAATATCCTGGGATTTGCCTCTGCTTGCTTGGGAGATTCAAGAATAAGATTTGACATCGAAATTAAAAGGGACAGCCCAAGTCTTGTGAAACAATTTTTAAAGCTCCCTTTTCTCTCATTTTCCAAAACCTGCCCCAGGACTGGCCCCTAGTCTTAATTGCCATAATCAATCTACAAGAAAAGGCATGATTTTAAACTCCTTTGCCCCATTACTCAATTCCTCAGTTCCCATCTCTCCAAATAACACTTCACTCTCACTCTCTTTCATTACTTCCCAAACTGAACAGTCATTATTAGCTCAGGGTCTAAGATTGGGCCAGACTTTCAAAATAAATATTTTTCTAATCCCCAGCAAGTATTCATCTTGCTCTCAGTTAAATAGTAATTAATCCCTACAAAGACTAAAGTTTTGGTTGAGAATATTTTTAACATCTTAAGCCCCAAAGGGGTTTATACATTTTAAGACCAGAAGGAGAAAGAACAATGAATTTTGACCCAAAAGAACCCAAGTTGAAAGATCAACTCTGCAACTTACCAGTGGTGTTATCTGTGGAGGAGGCACTTCACTTCCCTGCAACTTTGTTTGCTAAGGTATAAAATAAATTGGTTAGGTTAGATGATCTGTAGGGTACCTTCTAACTCAAATGCATGTGATGCTATAGCTCTTCATGTTCAACAAGGAATTCACACCTCCTGGTAAAATTTCAGGCTCTATGTTGTGAAGATAATCTTCTTGAGCAGAAGGAATTGGCCATCACAGCCCCACTCTGCTTATGCATAAAGCCAAACTTCCTCCTCCCTGACCCCCATCACAATTATCAATTCTCAAGGTCTTCAGACCATGATCATATTTTGTGAAGTCCAACAAACATTAATGACCTACCCACACCCCTAGTGCTGGGAGAGAAAGGGAAGGACACTTCCAACTGTTCTTCAGGCCCAGCAGGAAAAGAATGGAAAAACCAATCCATCAATCAATCAAAAGTGCAAGAGAAAAAAAAATGTAATAGCCTTCCAACAAATGTCTCCTGTTATTTGTGTTTAATTTCACCCCAAACAAGATCCTGAGTACAACTGAAGAACCTTGTCCTCTGAGGATTTTTAAAAATCAGAGAGACCACTGACCACAACTCTCCCATTTCCCCATACCTTGTCCTTGCCTTTTCCCCAATCTACTCTCCACAACGCATCTGAGCAGACAGGTGTAGATGAATTCTCACCTGGTAGAAAGAGACTATTGAATAGTTTCTCAGCTGGGCAAAGTACAAATCACCATCCTGCTGTCTCTCTCCTCCCTTTGCCTTTACATCATCTAAACTGTTTTTTAAGTAGTTGGATTGGTTTTTGTTTTTAAGCAATACCACCCTCTTGTGGTGAAAATTAGACTTGTATCCTTCTGTCCCATCCCAACTGAGCTTCCTAGGCTCAGAACTCAGGGGCCCACGAATCTATGTCACTGATGGAAAGGAAGTTAAAAGAACTTTTTTTTAAAGGTAACTGGGGCTAAGTGACTTGCCCAGGGTCACACAGCTTGTAAGTATCAAATGTGGTCTGAGGGCAGATTTGAACTCAGGTCCTCCTGTGCCCTATCCAGTGCCCTATCCACTGTACCTCCTAGCTGCCCTATATCTTTTTTCTTTTTGGTGAGGCAATCAGGGTTAAGTGACTTGCCCCAGGGTCACACAGCTAGTAAGGGTCAAGTGTCTGAGGTCACATTTGAACTCAGGTCCTCCTGACTCCAAGGCTGGAGCTCTATCCACTGTGACACCTAGCTGCCCCTAAAACAGCATTTTTCATGCTTTTCTTAGCACACACATTCCCTCCCATAGTTTACACCATGTTGTTGTTCAGTTATGTCCAGCTCTTCATGATCTCATTTGGGATTTTCTGGGCAGAGATAATGGAATGGTTTGCCATTTCCTGTCCAGCCTGTTTTACAGATAAAGAAACTGAAGTAAAGAGATAAGTGACTTGCCCAGTGGTCACAAAGTTAATAAGTATCTGAGGCCAGATTAGAACTAAAGAAGTGGAGTCTTCCTGACTTTGGGTCTGGCACTCTATCCACTGTGCCATCTAGCTGTTCTTACACCATACTGCTGAGGTTGCAAAGCACATACTACAGTAAAGGACAAAATTCTCATATATTTATTTGGCATATGTTTAGCATATGCTTACATATGTACATATTGATAGTATAATAACGAACCTTTATGTAGTGCTTTAAAGTTTACAAAGTAATTTACACGTCATTTCATTTGATCTTCGTAATAACCTGTGAAGGAGCTGGTATAATTGTCTCCAATTTACAGATGAGCAAATCAAGGCTGAGACAGGTGAAATGACTTTCCCAGGGTCACACTCTCTGAAACAGGATTTTTACTTCTTCCTGACTCCAGATCCAGCTTTGTACTACCTAGCTGCCTCTAACGTAATGTAAGCTCTTTGAGGGCAAAGACTATTTCAGGTTTATCTTTGTATCCCCAACATCTAGCACAACATCTAGTATAGTATGCTTTTTTTAAAAATTAATTTATTTTTATTTATCAACAACCACTTCCATAAGCTTTTGAGTTTCAAATTTTTCTCCTCCTCCCTCCCCCCCCAAGATGGCTTGCAATCTGTTATAGGCTCTACATTTACATTCCTATTAAACATATTTCCACATTAGTCATGTTGTAAGGAAGAATTAGAACCAATAGGAGGAACCACCAGAAAGAGGAAACAAAACAAAACAGAAGAAAAAAATAGCAAATAGTATTCTTTGATCTGCATTCAAACTCCATAGTTCTTTCTCTGGATGTGGATAGCATTTTCCATCATGAGGCTTTTGGAAATGTCTTAGATCCTTGTATTGCTGAGAAGGGTTAAGTCTATCGATATTAGTCATCACACAACATAGCTGTTACTGTATACAATGTTCTCCTGGTTCTGTTCGCTTCGCTCAGCATCAGCCCACACAAGTCTTTCCAGACTTTTCTGAAATCTGCCTGTTCATCATTTCTTGACACTTACTAGCTGTATGACCCTAGGCAAGTCATTTAATTTCAATTGCCTCTTTTAAAAGAAGAAAAGAGAGGATTTGTGGGATGCTGATAGAAATCCTTGCATCTGAAGCAACTTTTACAAAATGATAGTATAAGGGAAAAAACCTGAATTTAGAGTCAGGAAACTTAGATCCGAATCCCAGTTCTTATACTTGATAGCTAGATGACTCTGGGCAACTCTCCTCACCTCTCAATCTGTGTCCTTTGCATAATAGTAATAGCAGCAAGGCTTAATAGATATGGGCCTGGGCAAGCCTCGGCAAGCAGTAGAGTGGCCACTCATGGACTTAATCACAATATTAATCAGTATGAAAGTTTTAACCTACTTCTTTTTTTTTAACCTAAACTGGTTCATCTCTCCTTAGGCAGCCTGGCAGTGTTTCACTTCAGAATGCCTACCGTATCGATGCTAGATTTTGTGCCTTACTGCAGCTCAGAACTCCCAGACTCAAGCAGTCCACCAGCCTTACAGCTGTCCAGGAAGGACACCAGCATGCCCAACCTTCCTCATCTTTCAAATGGGGATAATATCAAACTTTGTAGCATTATTGTGGGGCTCAGGTGAGCAAATGTATAAAAATCACTTTGCAAACTTTAAAGTACTATAGAAATATCAGTTGTTACCTTAAGATGAGAGAGTTCAATGTTTCTCAAAGTGCAAGAAAAGGCTTTGGAGACAGAGAGATCTTAGTAAAAATAAAGTGTACAAATGTTGCACAAAATTCCTCCAAACACAGCACAAAGAGAATCTGTGATAGCCTGGCTATTCTGTATCATGGGTTGATAACTAAAACCAGTCCTGCCAACCTTCATAACACACTAGACTAAGGCTTAGACTGGGTTAAAGGCAGGGTAAGCACTAGGACTTGGCTTTTTAAGAACTTTCTTTCTCCTTCCAGTTACCCCTCTTTCTTATTCCAGCAGGATTGTCTCTGAGCTGTAAACACTAACCCAGAAGCAGGAGCAGAAAGTATGGCCTCCCCCAGAAAAATCAGAATCGTGGCCTTATAGGTAGAAGAGATTTCAGTTGCTATCTAGTCTAACCTCATTTTATAGATATAATCTGCCAGTAATTATTGTCAAGTAAGGCAAAATGAACTTCAACTACTCCTTAGCCTAGGCAGGAAATAATTCATTCCCCTTTTCTTTTTTAAATCAATTGATAACATTTTGTTGGGTTTTTGGGGGGAAGGGGCATTGCACTTAATAGTATTTCAATGTTCACTTTCTGCAAGATTTTGAGTTCCAAATTTTTCTCCCTCCCTTCCTTCCTCCTTTTTCTCCTCCCTCCCCAAGACAGCAAGCAATTTGATATGGGTTATACGTGAACACTCATGGTAAACATATTTCCACATTAATCATGTTGTGAAAGAAGAATCAGGACAATCAGAACAAAAGGGGGAAACCATGAGAAAGAAAAAAACAAAAAAGGAAAAAAACAGTATAGTTCAATCTGCATTCAGACTCCATCGTTCTTTCTCTGGATGTGGATAACATTTCCCATCATGAATCCCTTGGAGTTGCCTTGAACCATTGTATTGCTGAGAAGAGCTATCTATCAAAGTTGATCATTGCACAATGTTGCTACTGGTTCTGCTCACTTCACTCAGCATCAGTTCCTGTAAGTCTTTCCAGGTTTTCCTGAAGTCTGCCCACTCATCATTTCTCATAGAACAATAGTATTCAGTACATTCATACACCACAATGTGTTTAGCCATTCCCCACTTGATGGGCATCCCTTCAATTTCCAATTCTTGGACACCACAAAAAAAAGCTGCTATCAATATTTTTGTACATGTAGGTACTTTTCTTTTTTTTATGATTTCTTTGGGATACGGATTTAGTAGTGGCATTACTGGATCAAGAAATATGCATAGTTTGATTGCCCCATTGGGCATTCTTTTATATTGCTCTCCAGAATGATTGGATCAATTCACAACTCTGCCAACAACACATTACTGTTCCAACTTTCCCATATCTTCTCCAACATTTACCTGATAGGCATGAGGTGGTAACTCAGAATTGTTTTAATTTGCATTTCTCTAATCGATAGTGATTTAGAGCATTTTTTTCATATGAATAGAGATAGCTTTAATTTCTTCATCTGAAAATTGCCTGTTCATATCCTTCGACCATTTATCAATTGGGAAATTACTTGTTTTCTTGTGAATTTAACTTGATTCTCTATATATTTGAGAAATGAAGCCTTTATCAGAAACACTGGCCATGAAAATTGTTTTCCACCTTTCTGCTTTCCTTCTAATCTTGGTTGTGTTGGTTTTGTTTGTGAAAAACTTTTTAATTTAATGTAATCAAAATTATCTATTTTGTATTTCATAATATTCTCTATCCCTTGCTTAGTCATAAATTCTTCCCTTCTCTATAGATCTGACAGGTAAGCTATTCCTTGCTCTCCTAACTTGCTTATGGTATCACCCTTTATATCTAGATCACATACCCATTTCTACCTTATCTTGGTATAGGGCTCTCTTCCTCAGCAATTCATTCCTCCCTTTCTCCCTTCACAGGGTAAGGGGTGGCACTTTTCCTGTCGTTCCCAAGGCAAATAACTAGTATCTTGCTTAAATCCCTCAAGGACTTATCTTTCTGTTAATATGGTATCACACAAATACTGAAAAAACTTAAGACAAAACCACTTTTAAAGATAACAGCTCTAAATTTCACCAAACAGTACACATGTGCAAGTGGGGGGAGAGGAAGAGGAAACACTGTTAGCTACTTCCCTTTTATCTCGCTCTCCACCAAAGTGATAATATATCTCTTTTCTCCCTTTGAGTGGTTTGTAACCACAAAAATGGCAGCAGTGGGGGGATGGGGGCAGGGGTATAAAGAAACAGCAAGATTAACATTTCTGAGCTTAGTCTGACTCAAGAGGGTCCTGAAGAAACTTCAGCGAACCACTGATGTGAGTAGTAACTTTCAGGAAATGAAGGGGGAAAGCCAGCAGATGATGTGTGAGAAGAAGATGACCATCCTGGAGTTGTTGTGCTCACTCATATACCGGCAGCCTGTCTTCATGGCAGTGGTGCTCCAGCTGTCCCAGCAGCTGTCCAGTTTCAATGCTGTCTTCTATTATTCCACCAGCATCTTTAAGTGGAACGGCCAGTCTATATCACCATTGGTTCTGGGGTGGTCAATACTGCATTCACTGTTGTGTCACTGTTTGTGGTAGAGGGGGCTGGATGTCAGACTTTGCCTAGCAGGCATGGCAGGCTGCGCTGTGCTCATGGCAATCAC